CAGTGCCACGGCGCAGAGCGGAAGAATCCAGTGCCACGGCGCAGAGCCGCAGTCACACTTGGGACACAGGAGGGAGGTGCAGGGCAGCTGCTGCTGGGCCTCAGCCTCTGGCCCAGGCTCACCCAGACACCACTCTTGCCATGCCCTGCAGGGCGGGGCCTCTTTGTGACAGCTCCCTCACCATCTCTAGCTTGTTTCTTTTGAGTCGGGCTGTCACATAGCCAAGGCTGACCTTAACTCACTGTGTATCAAAGGCTAAAGGCATGATCCACCTCCCTCTACCTCCTAAGTATGTCAGGGTTACAGACAGGTACCACCATACCTGGCTCACTCACTCTGCCCAGCACACACTCTCTGCCCTCTTTTCTCTGCTATTCCATATTGTCATTAACAAGAAATAGAACTAGGGCTGTGGCCAGGGAAACAACAAGGGCCTCTCCACTAGGCTGGTGCTTTTCATACACACACTCCACAGGCAAGCAAGGATCAGAAATAGGGCTTCTCCATTATAGACTGGTGCTTCTCTCTCTCTCTCTCTCTCTCTCTCTCTCTCTCTCACACACACACACACACACACACACACACACACACACACACACCAGCTCTGGGCTGATGAGCCAAACACAAAACCCAGTGGAGTAAGAGAGGACAGTTGGCCCTGCTCAAGGACGTTGCTGGGTTAGTGTAATCATTTAAAACTGCCTCATGGGTGTTTACTGGGGCCCCTGAGGAAGTACTAGCTTGAACAGAAATCCATCCTCAGCCGCAGCCACAGCCTTCTCCCAGCTGGGAATGTGAGACTTGAAGTAAACCCTGGCCCGAAAGCGATGCCGCGGCCTGGCACTGTGCCACCTCCCTATCAGGTTTTGGGCACGGTGGGGATTGGACAGCGGCTCCACTGAGTCCTGGCCATGCAGAGCCAGAGCTGGGCTCCTGGAAGCCATGGGATTATCTATCACCTGTGTTCTACTCAAACCCCAGAATGGGGACGAGCCCAAGTCAATAGGCAGAAAAGTCAGCCCAGGGCGAGCACACAGGAGAGAGCTGGGAACTGGGAACGGAATGTGCGTCCTTTATTGAGCATCCGGAGGGAACCTCGGTGGTGACGCAGCAGGGGGGGCAGATGGTGGGAGACCAGAGAGCAGGCTGGGGACTCCCACCCTCACTTCCAGTCCTTGAAGAATTGCTTGAAGATGGGACTCTCTCGGCCCTGGGGTAGAATCTCCACCTGCAGTGGGAGAAAGGCTTGGCTCACAGGCTGCCCGCCTATGCTTCTGAGGAGGGGAGGACAGGGCTGCCATGACCAAGGGAACACGCAGCTCTGCCTTGCCAGCTGTGTCTCCCGAGAGAATGTTCCTTTGTGGTTAAATCTTCTTGTCATGGCCCTACAGTTAGGTTGTCTTGCTACATCAGAGACGGGCAAGGGCATTTTCCCACGCGTGTCATCAACCAGAAGGCCCACATCTTCGAGTGGCACACAATCACTAATGCCACTCACGCTGAGGTTTTCGATGCCCCACCACATACACCCTTTTGTGGGTTTTTCTAGAGGCTATGGGAGGAACTACTCTAAAGGGATATCTGGTCCATCGTGATCTAGAAGGGAAAAGGACCACTTTGCCCCATGAATATACCACCTACCTCCCACATAGTCATAAAATTGTCTTCAGTAGCCACAATGTAGAACCCAGTGTGGTACAGTGTCCCCAGCATGGGGGTAATGCACTCCAATCTCTTTGGAGTGTTCCTTTGCATGATTTGCTAAATAAACTGCTCAAATTGTCTGTCTCTTGGCTAAATTCTTTCATTCAAGAAAATGGGAGCCCTGTAAGAGCAGGTGAGAGGCCACAAGCAGTGTAAGCCAGTCCTGAGAAGACAAAGGAGAATCAAGCTCACAGGACACAGGCTGAGAGAACACTGCTTCAAGGATTGGGGTGCCCAGTTTGGCAAATTCCGCCGTCTAAGAATTTCTGATCAGGGAAGGGTGACCTGGATCTCAGCACTTGAGAGGCTGAGGCAGGAGAATCGTAGTGAGTTCAGGCTAGCTGGGGATACATATTCTAAGCTACTCTGGGCAACAGAGGGGGACTGTCTCGAAAGGGCTCAAGGGAGCTGAGGATGTAGCTCAGTTGGTAGAGTGCCTGCCAGCCACACACAAAGCCCTGGGTTCAGTTCCCAGCACCACATAAGCCAGGTGGGACCCACACCTATAATCCTAGAACTTGGGAACTAGAGGCCAGAAGATGAGAAGTTCAAGGTCATCCTTGGCTATTTAGAGAGTTTGAGGCCAGCCTGGTCTGCATGTGACCCATAGGGAGAGAGGCGAGGTGAGAATAACTTGTGTAGCCGCCGTGCTGGGACTAAGAGGAAAGGAAACACTAGTGACTGGGAAGATGCAGCCCCGGTGACACGCCTTGCCCTTCAGCCTCCCAGGCTTCTCTCTGAAAATATGTTTTGGGTTTTTGGTTTTTTTTTTTGGTTTTTTTTTTTTTAAGGCTGAAGGACTGATAGGCCTTTCCACCTAACTGGTCTGAGGCAGGCAAGTCTGCTCCCAACTCCTGACTTGTCCGGCTCTTGTCCAGGGTGGGGTAGGGAGCCCCCGGAGGGTACCAGGAGGAGGAGGTGGGGACATGGGTTTGTCCTCACCTGAGTGTTTGGGGAGTATCTCATCCGAGAGATGAAGCCATCGGCTACTTGGAGGGCCGCCTGCCGCTCCTTCTCGTTAGCTTTTCGCCCTAGAACATAGGAACGAGATTTCAAAGGGAGCAGAAGGTGAGGAGTGGCTGCCTGGAGAAGGCTTGTCCAGCATGTGTGAGGCCCTGCTTTCTGTCCCTAGCACCGCAGAAAACCACTGTGAGCCCCGCACTGGGGAGGTGGAGGCAGGAAGCTCAGAACTCCAGCCCCCATCTTCACATCTTCAGCTCCCTAGGAAGTTCAAAGTCAGCCTGGACTGCAAGAGCCACTGGAGGGGTGGAAAGTCTCTGGTCTCAACCCCATTTTCTTGAGGAAATTTAAGGGGTACACAGAATACCTGACAGTATGAAGCCATACCCTTAATTTTTTTTTCCCCAAAAAGCTGGCGGCTCTAAGCTAAGATTTAATTAATTAATTAATTAAAGCTTCTGCCTGGACCAACAAAGTTTTGGCTCGAGCCATCTTTAGGAAAAATGAGCTTCCTCCTAGACATCGAACTGTAAGGCCAGTGGGCTAGAGCAGTGGCTCAGCAGTTAAGAGTACTTGCTTCTCTTGCAGAGGACCTGAGTTCGATTCCCAACACCCCCACTTGGCACTCACAACCATCTGAAATTCCAGTTCCAAGAAAGCCAGTACTGTCCTTTGGCTTCTAAGGATGCTATACACACACAATTCTCAGGCACGCATGCAAGAAAAATAGACATACATACACATAAAATAAAAGAGAAATGCTAGGGCCAGGGTCTCACCCTTCCCCGGAGCCCCTCCCCTTCTGTGTGTGCACAGGATAACACAGGTAACACTGTTCTGCTGTCAAACTTTTTGTGTGCGACTAAGTAGGACGTGGAGTGAAATTGCTTGTAGAGGTGAACTGACTCACACAGGGCCAAAAGTCAGCACGCTTGCTGATGAAGTGTTTATAAAACTGAAAACACGGGGCTGGAGAGATGGCTCAGTGGTTAAGAGCATTGCCTGCTCTTCCAAAGGTCCTGAGTTCAATTCCCAGCAACCACATGGTGGCTCACAACCATCTGTAATGAGGTCTGGTGCCCTCTTCTGGCCTGCAGACATACACACAGACAGAATATTGTATACATAATAAATAAATAAATAAACTGAAAACACACAGAATCCACAATATAGGCAATGTAGGCAATCATTGGGGCGCAAAGTGTGATTCAAGCTGAAGGCATTTGATGAGGAAACAGCCAAGCAGTGGCTGACTCTCTGACCACTGTCAAAGTCTTATGAACCACGAAGTATCTGTGTCCTTCCTCTGTACGTGACTCACTGCTGTGGCATCCGTGGGCACTTGTCTTCCTGCTCCCGAGCTTCCTGTCCTACTGTGCCCTTTTCTGTAAGGGTTCCTTTCTCGGGACCTCAGACACTCACATGGGCCTCTGGAATCTTAGCACTGGCTTCATGGGGTTTGGCGCCTCTGCAGGAAGGAAAAGGCCACCCCAGGGCAAGGAATGTAGCTCAGTTGGTAAAATATTTGCCCAGCATGCCCTGGGTTCCAGCTGCAGCACCAGAGAAAATCAGGCATGGTAGCGCATGCCTGTAATCCCAGCACTGAGGAAATGGAGGCAAGAGACTCAGGGGGTCGGGGTCATCTTGGCTGCATAACAAGTCAGAGGTCAGCCTGGGCTACATGAGACCTTGTCTCAAAAAGGAAGGGAAAGGGCTGGAGAGACGATTCGGTGGCCAAGAGCACTTGCTGCTTTTGCAAAGGACCAGAGTTCAGTTCCCAGCACCCACATCAGGAGCTCAAAACTGCTTTTAACAGCAGCTAAAGGGATCTGATGGCCTCCTCTGGCCCCCTTGGGCACACACAGAAAGTGTGAGGACCTGACTTTGCAAACTCTGTTTTAAAGAAGGGGCTTCATCTTGAGCCATATGAGTGGGGGGCCGATCTCAGCTGAGAAACGGGCTGTGATGGCAGAATTTGAACAGATACCCCGAAAATAGCCAATGAAGAAGCCAGGGAGCAGGGCCATAAGATGTAACAAGGTCCAGAAGCTCCTAGGAGGCCTCCTGTCCTTGAAGATGCCTTGTCAGTAACTTATGGCTCTTTGTTAGGTTTTTGTGCCCAAAACCTGACCAGTGGTTTCAGAAACTACCTTACCCTATGCCCTTCTTACCCAATTCCAAGACGACAGGACATGACCTCCCCTGATTACAGCATTTCCCCTTTAAAAGTGCTACCCTCCCAGGGCTCCCTGCCACACTTTCTGCACCACCACGCTGGGGTGCTGGAAAGGTGTTGGTCCAAACTTGAGTTTGCTATTAAAAACCCTCATGTAATTTGCATCGGAAATTCAGGCTCTGGGAATTCATTTGGGGATCAGAAACTTGAGCATAACAAAAGAAAAAAGGAAAGAAAGAAAGGAGGGAGGGAGGGAGGGAGGGAGGGAGGGAGGGAGGGAGGGGGAAGGAGAGGGGAGCAAGCAAGCAGGATCCTGGGGGTCAAAGCAAGTAGCCAGGTTCCTGCACACAGCAGCCTTTCCCTCTCCTCCAGTAAATACAATCTCTTGGAAAAAGCACAGCCTGCAAGTTTACCACACACTTCGTGAAGTGCTACCAAGCCCATCTGAAATGTACCTCAGTTACAGTTAACTCAGAACCTCAAGGTCAGGGACCTCAGAGCCCTGAAGGCCTGGAAACTGCAGAGAGAGTTCTCAAAGTGTCTCCTCTGGAGCCCCCCAGGCTTACCCTGGGAACACTGTCTCCCCTGCAGCCCCCCAGGCATACCCTGGGAACACTGTCTCC